GAATAAGTTCTTCCTCTCGTTGCTTCAGAGGTGAAGGCAAAGCAAGTACGTCGATCACCCGTTTCTTTGTGGCGAATCTTTTGTCTTTTCTTTGCTCCTTTAGTCGAAAGGAGGCAACTTCTGATACGCAAGACCAGAACCCACAAGAGCAGAGCCAAAGCCTAAGTCAAGCACAGTCACATCAGCACTAGAGACCAGCGATTTTGTCTAGGACAGGCCCAGCCATTAGAGATCCACAGCTAATGCGAGCAGGGACCTCCACCTTCCAGTCAATAAAAAAGAAAGGGAGGAAAGTGAGTTAACTAGGGCGTACGCGAAAACTAAAATCTACGATCGTTTGGCTAGATCAATTTTTCGTTTTATGAACGCTTTAGTTTAGTGTCACCATACTTCAAGCATCGAAAAGTCGGTTTTTCAGCATTCAAATAAGCCAATTTAATTAATCGACCTTGAATGTGACGTGGATACGGTTGAGATTCATTCATAGGCTTTAGGTGATTAAGCTGGTCAAGTTGAAGGGGAATAACTTCCCAGTCCGTCCTTGGGACGGAAGCCTCCGCATCACACGTCCCGGCGATAGGCAGAGACCAAGATTTGACCATTTAAGCGCTAGTTCTGCTTTCACATTAAGATTATAGAAAGAGGGTTACTACATTGATAGAGGCATACAAGTATTCAGTTATCAATAGCCCACGGAGTGGTAATTCAGTGATCTTTAACCAATTGCGATTCCGCGCATCTGATCTTTCCTGGTATTAAAATGGTTTATTGGCGGGCTGAGACTACACAGGGGTAGAGGCCCATGCCAGTCTTTTTAGAGATCCGACTCGTCACCCGGTTAGGTTAAAAGCCGGTAGGAGAGTAGGGGGCTTTAGTTATAAGTAGGAGACGATCAGACTTATCTTATATAGGCTATTGCGCTTAACGAGTTAGAAGATGTTGCCAATGACCGGGTCTCGAGAAGAGTTGGATGCGAACCCCTCCCATGAGAAAGAAGCCTAGCAGCCCCGCCGAAACCTCTTATTCCGGTCCTTAGGCTAACTACGACTAGTCAGGAATTGCGTAAGAGAAGAAAGGTAACCGGATGCCTGGGGCTTAGGACAATGAGCGTCCGGAGTCTCTTAAGGAAGGATAAAACCAAAATTAGAATGAATCTTCTGGTCTATCAGAAAAAAGTCCAGCTAGGGAAGGAGCGTAAAGCAGCTCGATTTATAAGGTTCAATGCTCTTTTTGCTGGTATGGTAGAGCCATAAAACCTTTCTCCGAGCTCCCACTTTCGGGGGCCAGCGCTTCTCTCCAAGTCAAGTTTACGATCAGATTGAACTGGCTTGGTCTTTCCCCCGAGGAAGAACCTCCTCAGCCTTAGATTCGCTTGGAAGAAAGTAACCTACATGACCAACAACTCCAGTCACCGAGGCACCAGGAAACCTTGATTCGTACCCCCACTTGAGAAGTCCTCCTGTCCGATATCCTGCATTCTTCTCTGGGCGAGGGCTTTCAGTATGCCCGGCTAACTTCATGAAAGAATTTGAGTAATAAAGAGTCGCTACCCGCCTTTTAGAAGAGGGGAAGCTGCAGCCTTGATCTTAATGAACCCGGATCTATTACCTGGACCACGCTTCCTTCTTTGATTGCTCGCTCATCGGTCAAACATGGATTTTTGTTGCTTCCCGAGGGTTGGAGAAAGGGATCAGAAGAGTAGCTCTCGCACCTCGCTACACAAGTCGTGTCACTTTCTGATCCGCCCTAGTAGCAAGCCTCCACTTCCTGATCTACCGATCAGCCTGTCGATTATCTATTTCTTTTTTTGTATGCCGCTCTGCGAGCTACTATGGCAGGGCGTAAAGGCCCCGATTGTAAACCATCCGATCTAACTTCTTTCTATTACATATTTTATTTCCATTTTCACATTTTGGAGTAAGAAAAGAATGAATCCACTAGCTCTTAAACACTCAGTTACGATCAACCATTCTAGGAGAAGACCAGCATCCGAAGCATGCGAATCTACGCAAGCCATTGTCCATTTCAACCATTCCTCTTCTCCGTATCATTTCCTAGAGCTAGCCATTGATGGGGCTAAAAGAACTTGGGATCGTCGAGAAGAGGGGCAGCAGTTAACGGTAGCCCCAATTGATTGATCGGCCGTTGGTATACAAGCTGACATGCCTAGGCGCACTACGGACCCTTGCTTTTTCCAATTATGAAAGAGCTCATTCAAAGTCCCGCAGCACTTCCATATGAAGAAAGATCTGGTTATGTTATGTCGAATGCTCACTCCTTCAGGTCTTGGCCGTTGTTTGCCCTATCACATCACGTGTTGGTGTGGCACTGCGCAGAACAAGTGTATCCCGGTAGAAAGATAGAAATTGTGTTCGAACACCGTACCCTAGGTAGTAGGTCCTATCTTCTATATATACTAAATGTCCATACCTCCCCTTCTCTTCAAAGATAGGGAACTCCCATTTGTACGTAAAAACGTACCTTTCCATTTCAACGAAATCTTTTAATTTGCTTCTGGCACCCTTTCTTCTCTTAACGTCTTTGGCTCTAGCTCTTAGGGTCCATCTGCTCTATTGCTATAGCTTTTTGGGAAAAAACTCTTGCCAAAGAATAAAGTATAGCTTAGAGGCCCTTCGCCCTATTTTTCTAGCTAGCTTTAGGCCCCCTCGTCCACAAGGATAGAAGAGAGAAAGAGCAGCCGAACTTCGTGCGTACGATTCTTTTATTCAATAAGGATTTCCGCAGCTTCAAATATGGAGCTACGTGATCCTACCTATTATGTTATGATTACATTATTAGGATATCGGTTTGGGATTCAGATGTTTATTCTCAGCTCTGTGGTGCTAAATCTCACTTTTCTACTCTATTGAACAGGAGGGAAGCTATGTTGAGGGAGAAGGCAAGGGTCAAATGGTTATCTGATGGTGACAGAAATTCGAGATTCGCCGGGAGGAGAGCCGGTAAAACAATACTGAAGCTTCAAGACAGTGATGGCTTAGAATAGAAGTCGGGGGAGGCAGAGATCAAAGCTTTTGCAGTGGACTATTGAACAGGTATTCTTGGTAAGGATAGTCATGGGTCAAGGGCTTTCCCTCCAACTTTCAACAGGAAGCTATCTACTGAACAAAGAACTGAGCTGGATAGAAGGATCACAGCATAGGAGATTCATGATGCTGTTAAGTCTTTCAATGCTGACAAGGCCCCTGGGCCTGATGGTGGGAAATTCTTTAACCACTGCAGGCATATTATAGGACCTGATGTCACTAGGGCAGCTTTGAATTTCTTCAAGACTGGAAAAGGAAGAGTTTTCATTTTCGTACAAAAGTAAGTTGCTGGTGCCAAATCTGTCTGCTCTCGTGATCGTGCTACTGCGCTTTCCTGACTCGGGACTTTATTATACCTTACCTTTACCATCGTCGGAGCCGGGATTCTATTGTAGACGTGGGTCCGCTACTAGATCTTAGAACTTGATTGGCTTGACGCTCCTAGTCCTAGTTGGAACTCGGACCCCCCTTCGCTATCTATCGTCAGTGATTGTCCCAGGCGAGGAACTGCTTGTCTCAGACCTTATTCTCGCGCAGCAAGACCTTTTGTGAGTGCCCTTCCTTTTTGGCTGGAGGCTCATCTCACGATGTTCGTATTGTCTGATTGTTTTTTCTTGGTTGGTACGCTTCCCCTTGTGAAATAAGTCCTCTATCTACACACTAACCTGGGAGACTTGAACCCTGTTTTTACCTTGATGCTTCTAAGCCGCTTTGAATTGGCCTGTTCCCTTTTATGAATACAAACTTCAATCCATTCAGCCGTCACGTCAGCCGAGAAGACAGACTTGCTGGTATCGTCAAATTTAAATAGAGTATCACAGGCTTATTCTGCTCTAGTGGCGGGTTTCTCTTTTCATGAAGTAGCCCCTCATTCACCTCGTAACTGAGTCAAGCGACTTCTCCTTTTCTGTCATGAAGAGGAAGTTCAAGGATATGCGGCTGGGACAAATCCATATCAAGAACTTTTTTCTATAATCGAATTTGATCCCGACCCGAAGACCTCAGAAATTAAATTCTATGCCGATTTCATTTCATTCCAGTAGTAGGAGTTCTTTGTTTTTTTTGGTTGGTTGGAGTGCTTTAATAAGACTTGACCGAGTAGATCATGTTGGGATCTTCACCACAGTCGGAGTCATAAGGAAAGTACCAGTTGGACAGGGAGCACCCACCGGTAAAGCCATTTCTTGATCTTTCACAGCAGGCAATGTCAGACGGTAGTTCAAAAAGAGCTTAAGAAGGCTGGCCAGCACAAGAGAAAGCAGAAGGATAGCTAGAGAATTGGGAGAATACAGATAATACCTTTCATGAATCCCAACTTCAGTATTGATAGAAGATGGCTGCGGTTATGTACAACATGCGTACCCCAGCCTTGCCAATACGACTGGACGTGACTAATGAACAAATCAAAGAGTACAACTCAAGTACAATTAGTACAAGTACATGAGACATAAGTGACACACATACGCTAACACTCCTCCAAGCGAATGGAGATTGATCATTCCCAGCTTGCTCATCAAAGAAGGGCCACTAAGTAAGGTCAGACCTATTGTAGTGATCTTTCTTCTTTCTATGATATTAGAACATGATCTTTGAGATCTTTGATCCCAATTTACTTCTCGAAGGTGGCACTTGCGTCTTCTAAGTGACTTCTCCGATTGCTTATTCAGGACATGAAGCGAAGACCAATAGGGAGAGGCAGTCAATCGATGGCCCTGCTCGCTCTCCCTCTCCCTTTGGTCGAGCGGGCCCCTACCGGTCGAGCTGCTTTCCTCTCTGGAGAGCCACTTTCGTTCCTCTACCGTATCCATTGATGGGATTTCTTCTCGACTGGCGTATTACGCACTCGGGCCAATCTACTACACGCTAATAATGGTCTTTTGGATTTCATCTCCTACCAAAATTTCAAGTGGTTGGCCGTTCGATCGAGTCCATCCCTTAAAGTCGTACCCTCCCAGGATGCGTGAGTCTTCCGCCGATGCAGGCCGATTGGGATCCCAGCAGTCAAACCACTGCATTCCCAATAGCATCGGCTTGGAATTGAGGGTGACAAGGGAAAGAACCATCTACATAACTAAGAAGGTCATAGGTTATAAGCACTGGTTTGAATTGGAACTTCTAAAGAAGTGGTGGAGTCCAGTTTTAGTGAAAGGACGATTTGTTAGATTGATGCCCATTAACGTCTTGGGCGATATATGAGCCATTAAGCAAATGACTCTTATATATCACACTGAACATTGACTCAATATTTATAAGTTAATGTTCTTCTTAGACTTCCTCTTCTTCTTCAATAGTCATCTTGTTCTCTTAGACCAAACGGTGACCGGCTTTCTTTTGGAGCAGGAGACGGTGCCGGAATGTGCCAAATACCACTCGATAAGCCAATCGCATCTACTTTCAAATTTTAGGATAGCTAAGTTCGGCGATGGCCATATCGTGAGTTACTCCATAGAGTCGGTTTCGGTTAGGACAATTAAGGTCGGGCGATGAAATTAAGAAATACACGACCAACGAGCCGGTTTGGATGCCACCAAGGGATGGAGAGAGAGCCCGGCACGTCGGGTTTTTCGAGAAGAGGTTCTTATTAACGAAAGCGGTGATGAATGGGACGGAGGCTGCTACACTCCGATTTGGAGCTTATGTATTGAAGCGGAGGTGTCGGTTCGGACGACGACGGGAGGTTGGATTCTCCAACTTTTGCAAATGAACCCCGCTCCCTTCCTTCTAGCCTTCCCCGCTCTTTGGGATAGCGGGAATACTAAAGATCGTGGCATCGTCGAGTTCCTTTAGCACATGCCATTACTTAACTTAATTACTTATTTATATATGAATAGTCAATCCCTTCTCTTCCTCGAGCTAGTACCAAAAAGCCTATTCCGAAAGCCGTCTTTCAATCCCTGTGCCCCAAAAGAGGGCTAGTTTCAAGGGTGCGCACCTAGTAGCTGCGAGCCTAAGATCAAAGGCAGTTCCAAAAACAAGTTCCCTATTTCCTGATAAAGTCTCAGTTGTAAGGTTAGGAAAGCCAGGTATGATGAAATCCTCTTTTCGAATAGGAATTGATTCGATGTTATTATTTTATAAAAAGCTGAATATCTTGTTTTCAAGAAGGAATCGCCATCACCGGTGGAAGTTGAACCGGCGACCTCCTCCTCCTAAAGTATGGGAAGAAAAACCGATCGACCACGGGGAAGGAAGGACAAGAAGGAGGCTCGAGTTTCTTGCCTCTTGCTCGATCCGGTAGCGAGGTTTCAACGAGTTCTTTGTACGCGGCCGGTGCTGAATAGCCTCTTCCCAAAGCCGAAAGAAAGTATTTACAAGCATCGGCGAGCAAGCCGAGCGAAAAGCCCCTGTTCCCCATGGAAAGGTTCGATAGCCATTTCAAAGATAGAGTAAGGGCGGATACTAAAACCCTAAAAATTAATAAGGCGGTTCAGACGTTTTATAAGATCTTTCTATCAGTGGTCCACTTTCATCCAGCTTGAAATAAACATCCAAACCTTGGAAGTCTCGCATGCTTTAGGAAGTTCCCTACTCCAGTCTAGTTCAATAGCTCCAATGGACGAAAAAGGGTATGAAAAAGGTGTCTTCGACAATGAAAGTGGCCCGTTCTACATAGGCCCTGCCCAAAGCTTCCTTCTAAACTAAGGCACGCTCGATAGCAAGAAGCTAGTGACCTCTTTCAGGTCATTAACTAGAACTTGCACGAGGTATCACAGTGGGGCCTGTCTTCTGTCCGGTTCTTGGGTCCGGTCGAGCCTCTTTGAAATTACATCCCCGCCTCTCGTCTAACTCGAGTTGCTCCGCTCTTTTGGCAGTTAAAGTAGCTCGCTTCAAGAAGTAAGATCATATCATAAGGGGTATGTTACGAGCAGAAGTTCTCTTGCTAGTGGAAGTAAGAGTAGCAAGGTTAGGACCGCATATAAGAGGGGGTGCGAAAGAAATTATATTCCCCGAAGTTGTCCGGTTGGGAAAGCGACTTGACCTTCGTCGTTGGTTGGTACGGCCACTTTGCTTGAAGTTGGAAACCAAAGGATTGAAGAAAAACATCGATTTGTCTCTAAGCTCCGGATGCTTCATTCCTGTGAATGGGATGGCACTTTATCCCCGGCTCATCTTGCTTTTTTGAAATGGAGTGCACTCGGCTTCACGACTCGATGAATGGATTTGGGGGTTGACTTAAAATGGAAATTACACGGTGAAGTCGGGGTATGCGGTAGCCGAAGAAGTTCAAGATGCGGACCGGCCTCAATCATCTCATTTGGGTAGTCGGGATAGTGGGCTTTGGAAGCGAGGTTGGAAAAGCTCATCCCAAGATTAGAAACTTGATATGGAGGGCATGTCGTCATGCTTTGGTAACACGGATGAATCTATTCGAAGGACGCCCTCCTCTTGATGTTTGCTTTGTGATCATGAGGAAGAATCGGTGGAACCCCTTCTATTCCTTTTACCATATTTCCGAGCCATATGGCGCGTCGGTGGTTTCGGTTATGTGCCAAATGCGGTCCATTTCCCATGCTTTCTTGAATGGCGGTCCTCGTGTGCGGCAACAAATCCCGGATTTTGGTACCGTCAAGCCACTTTCTCTCATTGCTTTCCATTGTTGGGAGAGGAAGAGCCTTCTTTCTCTTACCTATGGACCTTTTCCACGTAGCGGCTTCCATGCGCACGAAGTCTTCCTCGGGAATGGCTTACCTTAGAATTAAAAATGGAGTCCCGCGCGCTCGCTTAAATGGGGGCTCTTGCCAGGGTCCTTTCGGTGCGAAAGATCAAACCCTACGCCCAGCTGCCCTTGTTCCGAGATCTCACTTCATTCACGTATCCGCCTCCTTTGTTTCGGAGCTAGCGAAGGAGGTGACTCGACCTGTAGACGGTGATACCGCCATTCTCAAAAAAAAGTAGAGGAAGAGATATGCCTATGTATGATAGGGCCGTAAAGAACTCTCTTGAGCCAACTTTCGGGAGGCCAGTTCAGGTTCTCTTTAGAATTTTTATTGGTATACTTATTATCGAATGCAATCCATTCGTATTTTATTCTTTTTTCTTGCCTTAACTTTGCTTTGTTTGAAATACAGAACTGAAGACGAAGGCGAAGGAAGCTCCAGCCCAAGGATAAAGAGAAAGAAAAAAGCAGCCGGTCGAATCGATTTCGTCCGACAAAGAAATGATCTCTACATTTCGTCATGGGATGAGGGGCAACTAGAATTCCGACGCCCCTCCTACTTACTCCTCCCGAGGTCACTTCCGGCTTACAGCGGGCTGCTATCATCCCTCCTTTGGCAGCGATCCTTTGAATTTCACTACCAGTCCTAGCTACGGATACTGACTATAGAGAACTTGAATCAGAATCTCTTTCACTCCCGGCTGAGTCAACAAGACTTATGACAACAGACGGAAGAGCCTCTCTTTTCTCTAGCCTTTCGGCTTCCGCTCCTATTTTCATTTCATTACCTACCTCGATGTGTTCTTTTCTTCACTATTTAGGTAGACTTTTCAGAGAGTTCTTTTTCTAGGAGTTTGCGGATTGATTCCCTGAGTCTTCTTCATCGAAGACTCTTTCCAAACAAGGACTAGTCTCATTGAATGAGAAATCCCTATTCCTAGGGGAAGTTCTGCTCGTTTCACTTCCTCAGTTGAGTGATAAAGAATCAGATTGGCTGCTTCCAGGCATTCTAATGAAGTTCTATCATTCCCAAGGGTAGACCCTGGTTTTTAATCTACGCCCAATTCTTGGCTCAAGAGTAACTGCCCCCTTTTCCCAATCAGCCGGGAATAATCTCATAGTCAAGGAGAAGAGGGAAGAACGAGGGCAAGCATAAGAAGAAGCAGTCATTGAAGAAAAGAAGACAAAAAGGTCCGATGGATGAAGATAACGATCAACGGAAACTACCGGCTATGAAGCTAGATGGCATATAATAAGGTTATGCCAATCCAATATAGATGGCTTGCCTGGCAGGTGAAAGAATACCTGTTGCCCTGGATGTTTGGTGGCCGATGCACAATCTTTCTTTCAGCCGTCGCGCTGATAAGAAGAAGAGTTCTGAGGGGCTTTAATGGCTTATTAGATTAGCCGAGAAACTTCTTTGGATGTCTTGAAGTGAAGAAAGAGTACCAAGAAAGGCTAATGGTGTCCGAGGCTTCTTACCTCTCCCCCGAGGGAGATTGAGGGGGTAACTTGCCTTTCCTACCCCACTTAGACAAGGACACTTATCGAATGCGAAAAGGTATTCTTGAAAGGAAGCGTAAAGCACCTCGACTTGGCTCGTAACCATTAGAGTAGATCGTTTGAGCTTTCTGGGGAAGACTTTTCGATCTTTCTAAAATCTAGGTAAGTCGAAGGGTATTCCACAAGGGTATTCTCTGGACAAGAGGAACCGGATAAAGAGTAAGGTTTGGGCTAGGTCCTTGCGATCCTGCCACCTCTTGGCAAAGTAGGCTGATGGGCAAGCCCCCTCTTTTCGCAATGGTGTGGGGCGTCAGAGGCTGTTGCCCCATGACCAACTCGAAGGGGCTGAAGTTCGAGGCAGAGCTTTTTGGTTGTTAAGTTATAGCAGCACTGAGCAACATCCAACAACTCCAGTCCTTCTGGTTTGCACTAAAGTGCCTTAAGTAGCCCTCGAGGAGTCAGTTTATTCTCCCCGTCTGAGCTTTCAAAGATATACCGACCATAGGTATCTTACCATCAGATACCGACAGTCGTCTTCTAACAAAACCGACCTTTAAATATCGGGGTTTCATCAATTTCACATAACATAAAAAAGCTCTTTTCATCATCAGAAACAACTTGATTTCCGACCTCTTGCATTGCATTACCATAACGAAAAGAAAAATGAATTCAAAAAAGAGAGATTGCTCTTGTGATTCGAAATGAACCTTTCTCGATGGAGGAAAGGAATAGCGATGGATTCCTATGGAGCATCCAGGAACAAGAAGATTCAATCGGACGACGAATTCTTACGTGGAAAAAGGAAATCAAAGATCCGCTTCCACGATTTCATCTATATCGAATCTTAATATCAGAATAGCTTATATAGTCGTCATGATTCAATTCATGAATTAGCCCACTAGAGTTCACTGCATTTTTTTTTAATTTATAATAAATTATATAAATATATAATATCATTCGTGTCTCTGTTACAACACGGCGAAACTCAATAGTTCGAATGAAATCCAATGAGAAAAAAGAATATAAGAATTTTTAGGCGCCTAATTTTCCTGGGATTGTAGTTCAATCGGTCAGAGCACCGCCCTGTCAAGGCGGAAGCTGCGGGTTCGAGCCCCGTCAGTCCCGACCTAGGATCCAATGAATCTCTCCATTTTCTGTGAAGAGGTCATCAAAGAGAGTCCAGTTGCCTCCGAGAAGTGCCTAGGAGAAGGTCTCGGACTCTCCAAGATAGGAACCTTGAAGCCCCTTCATGGTAAACCACTAGTGGCATGCTTTACGGGCAATCTAAGGCAGCCTCTAATCTTTCTGATTTTTTTTCCTCAAACCAAAAAGAAAGGCAACTATCAGATCTACAGACCGTGGAGCTGCAGTCAAGCTGCTCTTTGTTGCGACTTCTTCCTTTGCTCTATCTATAGACCCAGCCAGGATCAATGAATGACAGGACTATGGAACCATTCTACTAGCTAATCCCAATCCGATGGCTTTGAGAAGGGCGATATGCTAATACTGGGGTGGAAGATCTCGACGGAACTCAATCCAACCACAAAAAAGAGTATCCGATTTTGATTCAAATCCTGAGTCGATGGATGGGAAGCATGGGCCAAGACAAGGAGAAGCTCCGTACCCACCAAAGCAAACGAAAACGCTTGCTTGAGACCTTTTATGCCTTGGGGTGGTGCCCATTCTCTCTCTTAAGTGATTCCACGTCAGAGCTTGATCCGCTACCGATCAGGAAGTGCGTTCGGCACTCGTAATACTAGCGAGAAGCTTCCCTTGGGATTGTTTTCCCAGGCATCCTGCCCTAGGACCAATCCTTCTTTCCACGCTCCCAGTTATTCTGGTTGGTTATTCTTTAGTAATGCATTTGTGCCTGACCCTTGCAATTCACTTTCAAAGGTATACTTTGACGCTGCTCCTGTTACCACCTAAATGACTACTCAAAACAACACACTTTCTTGGTTGAGCTGATGGAGACTATTCAAGAATCCTACCCCCGGATCTTACTAATAAAGAAAGCGCCAGGACAGAACAACAAGTGCGGAATCCCATCCTGCTGCAGGGATTGGAAATTGCGGAATATCAGGATTTAGGCTCTTGCAAAGAAGGCAATTCATTCGTAGTAGGATATTGAAACCTCAAACCCTCTCTGTCAACAACATCGAAAAGATTAGGACGAAGGAGCTCGAGCTCTCTTCCATATTCAATTCTCGGAAGAAGATTCTCAGAAGCTGATTCTACGCATCAGACTAACTGGAGTTCATGCTTTCCTGCGTGAGACAAAGGAAGCAAATTGACTTACTCGGCGGGAAGGGAAATGTTGGACTTGTCCTCCCTCTCAAAAGAAGGTTCATTTCAGCTATAGAAAAAGAAAAATCACATTCTTCAATCGGCGAAGCCTCACATCCTGTTCCTGTTTCCTTAGACCAGGGAAGATTAGTTTCTTAATGAGAAAGAGGAATTGAAGAACCCGGCTCATTCACCAGAAAGAAGCCTAAGAAAGACCTATCCGGAAACAAAGAGGGTTTCGTAGCTGATCTGCCGAAAAGAAAATACAAGGGGGTGCACTCTTGGCTAATCGGTCTTTCTGGCAAACCTATCTTCTAGGGTGGCCGATTCTCCAGTGCTATCTTCTGTTTTCTTTGCTCTTTCCTCTTTATGAGGAAAAAGACGGGGGTTTCATGAAAGTGGCACTCTTTTTATGTCACTTAGGAAGGGAAAATGCATTTAGACGAAAAACACGCTGTTTTCTAAAGTTGTCCGATTTCAATTGACGTCTAGGAAGGGAAATTGACTTGATACCAAAATCACGGGGAAAACGCTCCAATGTCACCATTGAAGTCTCACTTAGGAGGGAAATCGGATTGCAAGCAAAAATCCCGAGAAAATGAAAGATTAGTCAGATCAGGGGGAAGCTGGTGCTATAGCCGTTGTTCAAGAATGGCTTTTGTTCAATCAGACGCTCTTGGTTAAAAAGCTCTAGTAGCCGGTGGGCATCGGGTTATGATACCGAATCCGAGCGGAATGAGAATATACACCTCAGGATGGCCGAAGAACCAAAAGAGAAAGTAGAAACATGCAATGAGTAGTTCGCTCAGGACTCCATTCCCTCGAGGAGCGGATGCTGGCCGAGGATGGAGTGGGAGCCAACCTAGACTTTCCTCGGGCTTGCCCCGACACCTAAGAAAAGGTGGGCGTCCGAAAAGTGCGCAGCCTCGACCTCTTCAAGAAAGCTTTGCTTGGTAGGCGGCCACTCTTTCACTCGGGCACAATGCTACGAACACGAAAGTGTGCGATTCGCCGCCCGGATCGAGATTGGAGTGAAACAAGAAAAAGAAGCTTACCAGGGCCCGCGGTAAGGCATGAATCAATGCAAGTGGACAGGCGTAAGAGCAGCCATCCAATACATGCTTTAAAGAAAAGAAAGACAGAGGCATTATGAAGGCAACTACCTGGTAACACCTCTCTACCAAGGAGCCTAAGGCCTATGGTTGAGCATGAATAAATAGGAAGAGGAGCTACTTCAGGGCTCTCGGACTCATTCTACCAAATGAGCTAGACCATGTTAGAATCAATGAAAAGAGATAGGCCATGGCATTACAGCGGCGGACCAATCTCCAAAGGGTCGAGTTAGTAAACTACCTTTCACCATCAATCAGTAGAAAGACCTTAGGCAATCGATCTCTTCTTCTCATTTCTTTCTAGTAAAGTCTAGTCTTTAAGGACTTAGGCGAGAGCATATTTCTTCACGAGAAGGGCAGCCCTCCGCCCTACCTTTGATTAGAAGAAATAGGAAGAGCGATGGAAGAGATCTTCGAACTGATTGATATGCAAGTCAAGGTCCGGGTTCTATCAGCCGTACCAAGAGCTAAGCAAGCCAAGAGGAGGACCAGACCAAGCAAGCCCACTCGGGGCAGTAGCAGACTCAATAGGCGATCGCTTAGTTCTTTCTATTAGAGGCGAGAGCATCTTACTCTCTTTCTTTCTACTGATTGATCGAAAGGTAGGGCCTAGATGAATTGCGACTTAGGGCTTCCATTAGGAGATTGCATACCTTTGGGATTATGAAAGGCAAGTCTTCTATTCAAGGCAGGAGCTCTACTTAAGATCCCGGTCGACTAAGTAAATTCCCAAATGCACTGACTTCTTCTACCAAATGAGCTTCTTGCCCGTCACTTTGATTCAAAGTCGATAGCCGAAGTCGTTGCTTGACGCTGCCAGATCGATCCTTCCTTGAATGGAAACAGGTACCTGAGCACGGGACGGGCCTTTAACTGGTGACCGATCAGTCAATTCTTTCTATGTCTAGGAGCTTATCATGAAATGCAGTTTCCATGAAAGGTAAAAGCAAGGCCAAAGGGGAGAACTTGAAGAGAAGTTCGACCATGACATAAGAAGAGGGACAAGAAGTCCACCTGTAAGAGAAGACTTGGCTGCTAAGTCGAGGAAGACAGAACAGAGGAAAGGATATTGTGCGGCTCTATCTTTCTACTTCTATTCAAGGCAAGTGTTCAGGGACTTAGGGCTCAGATAAGAGACCCAGGGATCAAAGACGAGATCTATCCTAAAGAGAAAGAAGAAGAAAAGAGGACTCTCGAAGCCAAGTAGTAAGATCCCGGCCGAACTAGTAGAAGAAAGAAGGACTTGCCTCAACATGAAAGACTTAGGCGCCTTCGGAAAGATTTTTCTTACAATAAATCGGAAAAAGATTCAGTAAGGTTAGGATATCTATGAACTACAAAAAAACTACCTCATTACGGGGTGAAGATTGAATCAAAGAAATTTCTGTCTTTATTTTTACAAGTAAAATGAAACGAATTAAGGAAGAAAGCATTTCTTCTGTGCTTGGACTTATTGGGAGTAGGAGCAGGAGAGCTAGAAGACCTTTTTCCTTTCTTTACACCAGCAAATTTGGCTATAAAATGCTCTTTAGCTGCATTCAAGTTAGGGGTAAGATCAAGACTCCAATAGCCAGCCCACCAAGTTTCGAATACAGAAAGAGCATAGGGTTTGCTGAGAATCCGTTGCTATTGGACTTGGCAAGTCATAAGCCCAGAAGGAAGAAGTCGTAGCTGCTACCTTACCTTTTAGTCTGCTCGAAAGGAAAGCCAGTAACTCGAGAGTAGAAAGAAATAGAATAGAGTCTGGTATGACAGAAACATTAGCTTTGAGCTTGAACGTCTTTCAGCCACACAACCCAGCTGCTATTGAATCAGCGTAAGGAGATGTCGATGAGGGTACAATAGAGAAAAGAATGAGCTTTGGTTCAGAGCTTGATGCAGAATCAATGCACTAACTCTGTCCTTCGCTATCGGTCAAGCTCCTTCTACCTCAAGATCGGTAAACCGAACCATACTTCTTCAGTCACTTGGTCTGGGATTGATTCCACTAGCCTGAGTCTGGCATTGACTCCTAAATTCTTTGATTTAAGCGGTTGATGCGGGAGCTTGAGATGAAAGAAGAGTTCCCACCTACGGCTACATGCCTATTAAGAGCTATACCATGAGTCGATCTAACTGCATAGGAAGAGGTTTGCTTTATGTTGATTGATCCCGTTTACAATCGAATCCTATTCTCAACCTCGAGTCAGGAAGAAGAAGTCCAGGCGAGAAGAAAGACCAGGCGGGAAATGCTTTATTTGACCAGCGAGATTTAATTTGTCCGGCCAGTCTCGAAATGTAGACTAGGCGGACACCACATCTTGATCGATTCGTTCTTGCGGGCCGAACCAAATCCTTTTTATTTGGAGTGTCACCGAAGTTTGGATATTAGGTTGGTGATTCGATTCCGAGTTACCCTATTTATTTTGATCAGCATTCCCATAACGATAGGAAAGCCGCCCTCTTTCTCATTGGAGTAGGAAGAGATAGGGCATCAACAAAGACATCCGTAGAATCTTTTACATAAATCAACAAGAGAATGAGCTAAAGCAAAAGCTGAGGCTAGAATAGTAGGGGATGGTGGAAAGGTTACTCTTTCGCAATTCAGAAAGCTGTTCTAAGCCCCTTCCAACCCCCGGATCAAGGGACTACTTGCCCGAGGAGCCTTGCCCATTTTCCAATTTTTCATCACCTTGGCCAATCCATTAATTCGGCAGAGAAGGAGCGGCTGCCACGAAGGGCTGCAGCGTTGGATTACTTTATTAATTTCCGATGAGGTCATCCAAGCTTTGAAGGAGGTAGGACTCTTTTATGCTTTTGATCTCTGTAAAGTTAGGCTCGACTGGGAGCTTCTGGAAGCAGCTGTAGAGTGTTGGGATCCTGATCTCAATCTTTTTTTTAATTTAATTGGCATAAGCTCGCACCCTCTTTGGAAGAAGTGTATCGTCTTTCTGGTCTTCTTCATATAGGTGAACTTGGTATCGTCGTGCCTCGTTCTGGCTACACTTCTCTGCTTCGTGATTCGCTGGGCCTACGCCAGGATGAGCTCAAGCTTGGTTATGCAGGAGGGGATCCGACTCGCTTATTTACCAAGATTTTTAATTGACAGGTTCTCACATGACCGCGCTTCAGTTTCGACTCCAAGATTTACCCACTGCGTTTGCTTGCGGAAATCTTTATTGGTGTCGATATCAGAGCCATTGACCTGGTTGTGACGGGAATCTTTAGCTGTCTGCGCTCAAAGGATAAAACCACAATTGTACCTTTGATCCTAGCTGAGATGTATAAAGGGCTCTCTGATTGTGCTCGTGGGATAACCAATATTCTATTCTTCATGGACCATGTGCCATCTTGCAATTGTGGCTGCTATGTCATTTGAAGATAATTGCCCCTATATGACGTGGTGGCACAACTAAAGAAGATCCCTCCTATCTTGATCAAAAGTGCTCATGATCTCGAAGGCCTGGCAACCAGAGAGCATTTGGAGAAAGCCCTTTCTCAAGCAGCCATAGAATGTGGAGAAGAGGAGGCATTCTTTTCCCAGCATTTGGTGCCTAAAGGAGATATACCAAGGACAGTGCTGCTAAAGCCCGGGGTGATCTCATTCTCTGCGCATGATGCGCTATTACAAGGGCTGAAACATAGCGGACCCTTTTATGTCAAAATACGATTGGGGAACTACGAGTGAGAAGGGCATTAGTGGACACCGGTTCTTCTATCAATATCAGCCTTTTCTTGCATAACTTGGGAATAGAAAGGAGACTCGTGCCGATCTTGAGACAAACTCTGAAATATTTCAGACAGTGCCTGATGATCAAAGTCAAAAGGCTCGAGATAGGTTCGAAGCAAAAGATCTAGGTCATTCATTGGAATGAAGCAAAGCGGGTCTTCCCTACCAAAAAAAGGGTCTGGCGAAGGGCACAGAGCTATTGCTATCGATAACATATTCTAACACTTCTTCCTTTCACTAACGTGAGAGCATCAACAACCCATTTATAAGATACAAGCGAGATGAGCCCATCGAAAAAGGTGTAAATCGGGACAGCTGTATTCGTCCATTCCTCGTACGTTGGTCGAGCCATTTCATCCCTGGCACGAGCAGAGCTAGAGTATAAGAGGATCGACTAACAGGAGCGAAGTAGAGAAGATTACTATTGAAGAAAAAGGCTAGTTGTCCCTTAAGCTAGTACTTTTCTCGGGTACCGAGACAGGTGCGCAGCGGTTCCTCCGCTGACGAAAGAAAGCTCGACTAAGAAGGAGATTCATTCATTTTAGTATAGGGAAAGAGATGAGGGTTTGTACCAACCAAGAAGTCGTTACAGACCGGAGAAAAGCCCAAACTATTATAGTTCACTAAATCGAATCAGAAAGCGAACGAGTGTCAGACTTAAAAGTCCAAGTACGAGCTAGTTACATACCTGGAGCGATAGCTAGAGAGATTGAGGGTTGAAAGTAGAAGGGGTTGTTGAATCTTAAAAGCTTAAAAGAGAGAGTCTGGTTTGAAGAGGCTAAACTTTGAGTTGTTGAGGAAGGGTGCTAATCCTACCTTGATTGTTCTTCGCAGACCGGCCATGTGATCTCCTTTCCAGGTCTTATTGCCGAACTGGTTCTCCCATCTGATATTGTAATTACTGGTAGAGCCAAAAAATGGGCATGACCCGTTGATGGACAACTTTATCCTTCGCCGGTTGTTTCGAGAGCTAAGCTAATTCGCTTCTAGTTCTGTAGCTAGAGCTGGTATTTCATCCCTCGTCGAGGCATAAAAAATCAGGTCTCTCGAGCCTCATCTTTTAAGTAGGAATGCTAAAATAGAGAGTCCAAATCAGAATATGTGAAAGCTTGCCCGATTGAATAAAAAGTTTAACATCCTGAACGAATTGCTTTCCTTAAGCTAGCGCACCGCTCCGTGGGCTTGTCAGTTTTGAAATTAATGAGACAAGTCTAGTAGAAAGAGGACGTCTCTGTCCCTTCACAAACACCTACGGCTAGGCAGAAATCCCCGCTTTCATTGAGGGACGTTTTCACTTTATGGCCTCTTTATATAAGCAAATCAATCCATTCCCAACCCAAAACTCTACAGAGTCGGCTGGTCTCACTTTAGAGGAAAGTTTTGACTTCGAGGGAGCTCAGCCTTTGCTTTGATAAGAAGAATGAAATCTCAGGTTTTCCGCTTCTTTGGCTGACACCGGCCGATAGCCCATGATCTGAGACAGCCTCTTCTTCGTAATCAAGCCAGAGCAAGGGATAGATATGATTAGAGGAGGCGATCCTTAGGCATGGACGGACCGGTTATAGGTTTTCTCAACAAGGGAGAGAGATCGAAACCCTCTCTTCCGTAACGGGGCCAAAGCTCACAGTCCTAAGTGGTGAATCGCTCAACGGTTCTAACCTAACTAGGCATCCAAGTCGGCACTATAGAAAGAGATAGCTATGAGAAATTCAAATGATAAGACACATTCTCGTTTTTTTTTTGGCTTGCAATAAAGCTAGGGTCCTAATCGAGCTTTCATAGAAAGCCTATCTATCCACCTCTCCAAAGACAATATCTTGAGTACCTATGATGGTGACCACATCCGCTGGCATGTGATGTTTGGACATAGAATCGAGTCACTTGTGAGAAGTTTAATAGTTTACTAAGCATCTTCTTTTAGATCTTGATTGATAGTAACTAGGAGAAGAAAGACGAACGATACGAGAAAGGAGAAGCCCTCGATTGAGCGCTTTATAGTATTCTATATATAAGGCCTCGTCTCTGTACCCTGCCGTAGAGGATGGGCCTTCAAGCGTACAAAATTCTTGTTAAGAAAGATTGGATTAAGCTTAGTCGCTTCTCACGCACGGAGCTCGCCCTCTATTCGACGAGGAGTATCGGGTTTTGAAAGTTCTGCGACTCCTACCGCCGCTGCCATAGACCAAGGTTTTTACAAGTCCAGTGGTGAACCTAAAGGATGCCCGCGAGGGTATCAACCGGTCTCAAACGAACTTCTCAGAATGACCGCTAAAAAAAAACTATTATCTATCATATCAATCACATGTCTGAACCAGAGCTAGGGTTTCACCCAGGAGTGTTCACGAAAGACCAACCCAATCTCGACTTTAAGTGATTCGACCCGAATTAAAACCACATGAAACTTTCGATTTCTATGGCATTGAAAAAATGGAGAACCTTCTTCTGTTATATACCATCCCTAAGATACTCGATTCAGACTCTGCCTCAGAGAACTGTTTCTTAGGGAAAGGGTAAAAAAGAGGTACTTTCGCCCATGGTGAGATAGAAAGCTAGATGAGTGAAAACTGTTTCGATCTGAGACCCCAATCAGTAATTAAAACTGGTTCATAAGGTTTGCCACTAGGGGATAGAGCTAGACCTTTCTTGATTTGAGACCCAGATCATAGAGGACTTTTTGACAGAAGGCATAGCGCTAGTCCTCTTACGGATAGGTGGGACTAATACCGATATCATGGTCTTCTTCCTTCTCGATGCGCGGTAAAAAGTCTATTTTGAAATTCCTTTAATAGACGAGTTCAGATAGCCAGTGATTGTCCAGAGACTTCGACTGCTGCTTAACGCTTAGCGACTGAATCAGCCCAGGAAAAAACCTTTCTATACATATGGTGGTAGCATAGCTTTTTCAAGCAAAGGTAAGCTTGTTGACAAAATTACCTTGGGCAAAAAAGAGTTTTGAAAGTCAAGCTCAATACCAATACTCGCCCGACCCTTAGGCATTTACCAAACCGGAACTCGGCTTCTAAACGTACACCTTTCCCTCTCATTGTGGGCAGTCACTCATTCCCAAGCAAGGAAGGAAACAGGCTAATGGTATTCTGCCCAGTCACTTGCTTCTTCCTTCCAGTGAATCAGTTACCGCCTTGGGGCATCTCAAGTAATGGTTAGTTCCTTCCTTGACTTCACAGTCAAGATTGGCTGGGTTCTCTATCTTATCTATCTTTCTCTTTACAGAGCTAGACCAACAAAGACAGACCATTGTCTTAGACAAGACAACTTGTCAAACCGGAAGGCTGACTTCTAAAGCTTTCCCATCCAGTCCTGATAGCCCTAGATCTGTAGATCCAATCAACTGTTGGTCTCGCGAGACTGAGTGGATCTTTGTCCCAAAGCCAGGAACAGACTCGGCACTTCTAATCCAATATAGCTTTCTGATCCCCAAGCTCTGTTCAAGTTCCAGGTAAGCTGTACAGAATTGGCTGCTCATCTTTCTTTCCAGGCCAGTTCATTCCAAATTGGAAACTTGAAAGGAAACTCCCCACTCAGGCATGCATTTATAGCTGCCAGGCAGGATACCACAGTCCGGGCATTCAATCTGCTTCTTTCTTTCCGACATCTTGATTCAAAGAAATTCTTATCTACTATGTTATGTGATGTCCAATCGTTATTATATATAATGAGTGATAGCTGACAGGTCAATGGTCTCTTTCTCAGCTAGCTGCCATAATAGGAAGTCAAAGCCAGTTCAATCAGTACTAAAGAGAACGGGTTCAATTTATCCCAATCACGAGACCTGTTATGAGAGATGAAAGGCATGAAGTTCTCCTCCTTCTCACCCTTGATCTCTATCTTCAATTTTTGAAGGTTGAATCCTATTTATAGAAATTGAATTTCAATTATTTGTGGAAACATATCAATTAGTAGAACCAAAGAAAGAGATGCTGTATATGAATCACTCACATATTCTTCTGAATTATATGTATCCGCGGGATTAATTTGGAAAAACAGTAGGGAAGAACAAACAATTTTTATTGGAAACATTCCTCACCCTAGGAACTTCTATAGTAAATGGAATATACAGAATTGTGATCAATCAAATATTGCAAAGCCCGCTATCTATTACCGGTCGGAATTGGACCATAACGGAATTTCGGTCTATACCGGCACTATAATATCGGATTCGGGGGGAGAGTCGAATTAGAGATTGATAAAAAAGCAAGGATATGGGCTCGTGTGAGTAGGAAACAGAAAATATCTATTCTAGTTCTATCATCAGCTATGGGTTCGAATCTAAGAGAAATTCTAGAGAATGTGTGCTACCCCGAGATTTTTTTGTCTTTCCTGAACGATAAGGAAAAAAAAATTGGGTCAAAGGAAAATGCCATTTTGGAGTTTTATCAACAATTTACTTGTGTAGGCGGAGGTCCAGTATTTTCTGAATCCTTATGTAAGGAATTACAAAAGAAATTTTTTCAACAAAGATGTGAATTAGGAAGGATTGGTCGGCTAAATATGAACCAGAGACTGAATCTTGATATACCTCATAACAATACATTTTTGTTACCGCGAGATATATTGGCAGCCGCGGATCATTTGATTGGAATGAAATTTGGAATGGGTACACTTGACGACATGAATCATTTAAAAAATAAGCGTATTCGTTCTGTAGCGGATCTCTTACAAGATCAATTCGGATTGGCTCTGATTCGTTTAGAAAATGTGGTTAGAGGAACTATATGTGGAGCAATTAGGCATAAATTGATACCGACCCCTCAAAATTTGGTAACTTCAACTCCATTAACAACCACTTATGAATCTTTTTTCGGATTACACCCATTATCTCAAGTTTTGGATCGAACTAATCCATTGACACAAATAGTTCATGGGAGAAAATCGAGTTATTTGGGCCCTGGAGGATTGACAGGGCGAACTGCTAGTTTTCGTATACGAGATATCCATCC